ACGTGTCTTGTTATTTTGCAACCAAACCACCTCTGACTTTACCAGATGTAACTTCTCTTGGCTTTACTTTTCTTACCTTTATTTTCAATAAAGTTTTTTGTTTGGTCTGGATACTGTTTCTCAGAGACCCTCAGGCTGACTAATTCCCCTTAGCCTTGCCTCTCTGGAAGCAAAAAGGTTGAATCTAAGATTGTCCTCTTTTGAGACAGACCATGACGCTGGGACAGGTTAAATGCAGCAGGAAAAGAAAAAAGACAGAATACGAGATGGATTTCCTCCCTAAAGGAAACCACAGTCTTGGGTTTGCAAGAGCTGAGCAAAGCAGGGGCCATTCATGGTGCCACCATCAGTCAAAGGCAACTCAATGTCACATAACGAGTTGCGTTTTGGGGCTATTCTCAAATATTGCACAGCTGCTGTTCAAAATATTAGAATACCTGCAACAGCTCCTTCCCTGGTGGGTCTTTCTAATAAAGAATAAGTGAGGCACTTGAGTGCGACTAGTTCGGGGTGAAGGTGGTGACCTCGAAAGGGTGAATCTGCCCAAGTGATTTCCTTCCTGAGAAGGCAAGAGGAAGGGAGGAGCTTCATTGGACGACTAAATATCTCAAAACCAGGCCAGCCACCAGGACCGCCTGGATTCCCTCTCAATCAGGCTGTCCCTTGTAGAGCTGCAGGGTTTCCCCTCTGGCCCCATCGGCCGCCTTGTCTTTCCCCTCCTCTGCAGGTGAATGGTTGCCAGCTGCAAGAGAGAAACCAAGCACATGGGAGTGGGACTCTGCTTTCCAGCTGGAGGAACAACAGGCCCCTGGGAAAGAAGAAGAAGAAGGGGGTGGGAGGCAGAGAGGAGAGGGAAACTGGTGAGGGGGGGACGAACTCCTGGATATTCAGTCACAAGGAGACGAAGCAAAAGTCATCTCGTCATGTGGATTTCAGCACCTGGCACTCACCAACTTGTATACACTCTGCACATACCCAGAAGTGCTTGTTATTTTGACTTCCAAGGCTAAACCAGGAAAATGGCTTTAACTGGTATTGAAGTCACCCCCTTCCCCCACTTTCTCTCAGTCCCGGAAATATTGCATCAGAGCTCACAAGAGGGAAGAGCATCTCACAGCTGAATGCTCCGTGTTGTTGAGGGGCATCGGGGCAGGAATGTTGGGCAAGGTCTAGGAAGTCACTGAACTGCACCATCCCCCCCAAAAAAAGAGATAAGTCAGGAAAGGCTGGGAGCATTCAGTGCCTGGGGGTGGGTGGTGGGTTAAAATAAGGCGCTTCCTTCACTTGCACAAGAAATGGAGGCTCAGTCTAAGAAATCTTAACTTGATACTCCCAGGAGCATTTATGTCCTGCCCCCACATCCTCTCTTTACTTCCCACTCCTAGAAGTGTGAAGCTGGCCTTGACTCCTAAGGGTCTTCGAGTTCTACCCCCTTCTCAAAGCAGGAAATCTCAATGTAAAGCATCCCTGGGCTGGTCCAAAGGGGGGGATTGGGGTCCAGACTGAGGAATTTGGAACAGTCTGGTTTGCGCTTACCAGTGATCTATTTTATCTCTCACTTGAATTATCTTTCTATTCACACTGGAGATGTTTATACCACACAGGTGTTTGTTTACTCACGTGTAAATGAGCCTACTTTACTATCAAGGAAGGAAGCAGCAATGGTGGACAGTGGTGGAGGCGTAAGCACATGGCAGATGCATTGACAGGACAGAAAAAATTTGGGTGGAGGTGGTGGAGATGGAAGGTAGGGAACCCCCCCCCAACTTTTCCCTCCTTTCTCCTCAGTCAGGGCTCTGCTGAGGGTGCATTGTGTTGTGGGGTAAGAGCCCTTGGACTTGACATACCGGTAGTTCAAGTGCCAGCTGCTAATGCGGATTTCAGCAGTTGGCACTCACCGACATATATGCACTCTGCACATACCCAGAAATATACGTCGTTTTGTTTCATCATATTTGTTGGCATATTCTTGTTAGGATTTTGACAGATTCAGTCTCTGTGGCTTGAAATATCTCTATCTGTATCCTATCTACAGCTGTTTCTTTTATCTTCATTCGACAGTGTGCTTCTCTTTTGCTCTTTCGGCATTCCTAACTGAGTTTTAAATTTCCCTTAGATTTCTCAGATCTTCTGGAAGATGTGTTGGGTTCTTTCTCTCTCTCTTTTGTTGTTTTTTCTATACAAGACATTATAGTAGTTCTCCATCACTATGCAAAAATTGCTAAAAAACTGAATTCAGGAATCTGACCTTAACTCCTGTTGCCATTTATTTTTGCCTCTCACCTGTTCTTAACAATTTAAAGAGTTTTCCTCTTAACCATATTATTGTTTTTTCATCCTTTGAAACTTCATCCTTTGAAGGGTCATGGGGGCTGCATGAATGCCCTGGGTGGATGAACGCAGCCTGAGGACCACATAAAGCCGACGGCTGCTCTAGGCTTTCTGCAGGTGCCGTCATCCACTCAGTCCCTTCAGCAAGGAATTCTGGCTTGGACTGGGAGGGTGGTAAAGTGACTGTATTTTTTTCTCTCCATCAGTAGTGAAAGGAAGGAGCCATTTCAGAATCCTGTGCCTCCCTCTCCTGAGCGGAAGTGGAAGATTTGGGACATCTGTGACAGAAATACCCTTTTAGCTGAGAGAATGTTAGCACCCTGGTCCTAAAGGGAACAAGACAAAGTGTAGATTTTATTTTATTTCAAGACAAATCACAGTCAAAATAACAAAGTCTCTATTTTGATAGTCCAGCCTGTTTCCTTTCTTCCGATATAAACCAGACACAGGATTATTCTCAGAGACCATGAGGTAGAGTGGAAGAAGTACGTTGATCTCCATGAGAAAGACAGAGGACAGAGTGCGAGCGTGAGGGGAGGGATCTCTTTTACACAAATTGCTCCTCTGCCCAGTTTGAGGAGACCCATCGGAAGGTTCTTGGATTTATCTTCGGTCTTCAGCACCCTGGAGAATTTGATATCAGACATTTATGAGGAAAATTCACTGCTCACCTTCCTGAATGAATGAATGGGTCCCTTTTCTGGTATCAACAGACGCCAAGTATACAGGGCATTAGCTGTTCTTTCAGTTAGAACAGAACTTGATCTCTTCCGGGTAGCTTTTTAAAGAACACTTTATTAATTGTCTCATGTACAGAAGACTAGATGATAAATAAACATATTTCTTGAATAAGTATATAGTGTAAATTCTCCTAGACCTGACAGTTTGTACCATCACTGAGGAGGAACACTTTAGCTTTTTAAGGGATTTAGTAGATAACTGACCTGATCAGGAGTCTTTCCCGTGTGATACATCATTTCATATGTAACAAATCAAAGCCCCATGCCATTCTGCTTTGATGCAACTAGAGCCTGATGCACCTGGAAGTGAAAGGAAAGTCTGATGCTGCAAAGAAAAATGCTGCATATGAACCTGGAATGTAAGATCTATGAACCTTGGTAAGCTGGATGTGGTCAAACAGGAGATGGCAAGAATAAATATTGACATCCTGGGCATCAATGAACTAAAATGAACGGGAATAGGCAAATTCAGCTCAGACGATTACCATATCTTTTATTGTGGGCAAGAATTCCATATTGATAAGAGATAAAAGTAATAGAAAATAGTCATTAAAATATTGTTGCCGTGGTTAATGTGAATGAATACAAACAAGCAAACGTGTAACCCTATCCAGGTTTAATGACTGAACAATAAAAAAAAACATATATGACTTTACTTCTGTGATTTACCAATCAAATAATAAATAAACTTGTTGTATGTGGCAGTTCATGTCTAAGAAACTTATTTGTATAGCGTGGATAAAGATCCACTGGTGGCAGCGTGTAAAAAGAGAAAATGGCACATCGTGTCCGAAGGTGGACCTGTTTTTGATAGAAATGGGACACTGGGGGAACGCGACAGACGGAGGGCAGAACGGTATCGGAGGTGATGCTGGAGTACTCTAGGCTGCAAGGACTAAGGGATGTCAATGTCTGCACTGAGACCTACTTATTAGGAGCGGCTCAGGACTTGATGTCCTCCATGACAACTGTTTCAGTTTGTTTTCATTGATTCACTTAGTTTTCTGGGGAGGGCCCTAACAATACTGACTGAACGTTCATTTCCTGTTACAATAAACAATTTCTATTTGGTTCTTTTGAAAATGACACATTACCTGGACCTCTGTGATTAATAATAAACAAGGTTGATATAATCAACTGGTGGGAGCAACATGACATGTAGCCTGTGCGAGATTGGTGAAACAGTCAAGGGACAGGCCTGAACGTGACAAATTCTGAGTTCTAACTCCTGTCCTCTGAAGATGCCAGCCACAGAGACTGGTGAAACATTAGGAAGAAAAACCTCCAGAACATGGCCAAACAGCCCCCCAAAAAACTACAGCTGTCAGATCCCGGCTGTAAAAGCCTAAGAGAATACAAGATTCCCAGAGCTTGTCACTAGAGGGAACCAGAGACCATGCTATGTAAAGCATTCACTATTAAAATAGTATTTAGTATTTTCCAGCATCTGTTGGGAGGGGCTTGGAATTGATACCGGTGGTCCTACTGTACTGATACCGTGTTTCCTGGAAAATAAGGCAAGGTCTTATATTAATTTCTGCTCCAAAAAACGCATTAGGGCTTATTTTCAGGGGATTTTTTTTTCATGTACAACCCTCTACATTTATTCAAATACAGTCATATCTTCTTCTTCTGGTTGCTGCACAAGGGT